TGGTGTATATACAATACTTGAAGAAAAAGTATTCGTAACTTGGTGTTGTCAGCCATATGAAAATACTGTTTCGCCGCAACATTTTTTTTCTTTTTTGTTAAAACAAAAAAAAAATATCCAGGGTTGCGATTTTTCTCTTGAAATATATAAACTACGTGTGAAAAGAGGAGAAATACCGTGAAACGAGTGTGCCGTTCTCGTTTACTCTATTAAGACCTGGCTCCATTCGCACACTACTCACGTTTTATTTCCTTTTAGGTAACCTGGATAGTCATTCACATAAGAAACACGCGAGAGATTTATTTTTTTCGCCGAATGCTGTCGCGCAATTCATTTTACGTTATTTTGTGTCTTTAACGTCACACAATTTCGCATTTCCAAATTCTACGCGAGGCGACGAAAAATCAACAAAGATTTTATAGAAGAACTTCAATTTTTCCGAGTTCACATTTCTAGCATTCGTATAATTATTATTACGGCTTCTTTTGTCTCTCGTAAAAATTAAAAAGAGAAAAGAGTAACACAAAACATGCTTATTAAACTAATGATATTTTAGTTTGCATTAAAAAAAAAAGAAGCGCTCTTTTGCGTTACATCGTATCTTTTATCGCGTGCTTTTCCACGTTCGCTTTTTATCCCTCTTCGAATGCACGAGATATTGTGTGGCCAAAATAGGACGGCAGCCTGGAATATAATAGTAAATAATGTTATTATAATTATTAATTGCATCACGTGCAATGGATTTAACAATCGGCCTGCTGACAAGTTCACGAGCAAACAGAGAACTTTTTCGCCGTGCTGTCACGCGCACACATGCAGCTCGCAATCGCACGACAATGCTCGGCCGATGATTTGTGCGGGTCATTAGGCACCCGGTTTTCATTGGCGTGGACAATAATATGCGGAATAATGTGCGATATAATGCCCGTACTGTATTACGATGCGATTCTCGATTCATGCATTACGTTTAATGCGTTCACCGTGTCACAACGAGCGGACAATCGTCGCAATCATTAAAATTTTATCGATATATTATAAATTGCATAATCTATCTGCGAATTCATTACGCACCGGCGAGGGTACATCCGTCGGATTAATTGTCTCGTCCCGGAGTTAGCATTTTCAAAAGAACACGCGTCTTCGATTTTTCATTTAAATGCAAGTTAATTAAAATGACAGCAATTTGTACGCGCATTCAAATACAATTGAATTTATAGCCGCGGATCTTTTCACATAAAATTGTCTTTAATAAAAAATATTTTCAATCTTTTTTGTAATCAAATTTAAATTCTTTCATATGGTACACCAATAATATATCACGGAAGAATTTTAATTGAACATTTTAATTGAACATTTTAATTGAACTCTAAAATATTTAACACATTTTATCAGGTGTATAATAAAAGATTATTCGGCATAGAAATTGAATAAACTGCGATAACTTTCAGTGAAGCATCCGATACAACCGCGAATCCTGGAGAAGGATTTCGCTGATGTTTGCCGCGCGGTATCAGTGCTACCAAACGTGGAGTTTATCACTGATGAAGCACAATTACGTTTTTTGCCGTCGCAACAGTCGTCATCTCTCCGCTGCCATCGTTCTGTCGTAAATTTATATCCCATTCCCGGTATTTCCGAGGCCGTCGGATGCTCGCTGGAATATCGTGGATGTTCGCGCGATCCTGATTACTTGACAGCATTCGTGCGATACGTTGATATCGACGTTGAAAAAAAAAACAATTGGAAAAAAGAGAAAAAAAAACGAGAATACCTCGCGAGAGCGAATCGAGTCTCGCTGCTTTTTGATGGCTTGCGCCTGCGTTTCAATTATTGCGCCTGGCTTGATTTATGGCTTTGCTAGCGTGTTTCGTTTGAAAAGAATTATTTTTTTCCGGTCAGCGAAAATTTAACCGGTGCAAAATTTCAAGATTAAATCAGTGCTCTAAACGCGACTGCTTAACGAATTCGTGTGTACATTGATCTTCTTGAAAATAACTCGCTGCAACTCGCTCCATCGTTCTGAATTTCTAAAAGCGTTCATTTAATAACAGAGCTAAGCGAGTTTCTCAGAAGAAGCAATCTTTTCAAATCTGCGCAATGCTGAATTAACACTCCAATAGCTGTTTATCATTGAAGTTTAAAAGAAAATGGACGCGACGCTTCGTTTGAAGTTATTCAGATAATGTTGTAACTACGACATCTCATTACTAAATATCATCTCGTGTCAGTTTAATTGTGTATCGATCGTGACAAAGATTTTTCTCTCGTATAATAAACACGCATTGTTAGTTTTACTGACATAAATATTGGGGATACTTGATGATCTAAATGCAGTTCATATTTGATAATTGATTTCTAATTGTAAGCGCAGTTCACCGGTAATTGCGAGCACCGGTTAATTATTTGCAAATTTGGGGTGCGCTAAATTTAATTCATATACCAGGACGAGATTATTCTACAGTTCATTGTACCGCATGTAATCGTGCCAAACAGAGTGATTATAAATAAATGGCAGCTTTTTAGATATCTGTGTATTTATGCATGTTTAAATCAAGATGCATAATGCGCTCTTCTCAACGATTTAAGAAATATTTAAAAATTGTTTGCAATTCTTAAATCACATTACAAAGCCAATATTTATATGAGAAGCAAATCAATATGCAATCGGTGCACGAATTAACCCGCATTATTTCATACATTTGTTCAAGAAAAGATGAATTATGATCGCCTTTTCGGGGGCTAGAATTGCGGCGAAATGCAAATAGAAGACGAATAGAAAATTTTACGAGGCACAAGATTTACGACTGACTTCTCCGCCTATTTTTTCTTTTTTTTTTTTTTTTCTGTCGGTGCATAAAACTTTCTCAGTAAATCCACATCTGGCAGCATCCGATCGCAGTAACGGCGAAGTCGCGGAGCGCTTTTTCGCCGCCAAAGGGGATTTTTTGTTGTTAAAACGAATGTTCAGTAACGTTAAATCTCGCAAACTTTTGTCCTTTTAATTTTAGCATTTTCTTTTTCGTAGACGATACGAATGTGAATATGAATTACGTGTATACGATGATAGCTGTCTCTCTATGAAGAGCGAACTATGGCAAGTACTCATTAAATTAATTCCGAAACATTGATCGACGCACGCTTATAATAACGAACGTTTATGTTTTATTGTATGCGCGAATTATCTTGCATTTATCGAGGATTAAATTATAAGGAGATTACTAACCCCCAAAATACATAATTTAAATACCGAACGCAATAAAATGTATTAGTCTGAGCCGATAAAGTTGTTCGAGAGGAATTTGTAATTGATTAATCGCATTGATAATATATTTCACACAAGCCAACTTTACGAGGGCCATATGTAACATTGATTTAACACGTTTGCCTTCTCCGGTGCACATCATCCGGCTATGCGGCGCGGAATTTCATTTCGGCGACAACGAGCTCGTAACGCCTACGAGAAGAAAAAAGAGGCCCAACTCGAGCGCGGAATACAAACAGGAAGGTTTTCGGCGCTAACCCATTTTCCGGCCGGAAGAAAAATGGGCCTCGGTATGAGCCGCTCTCGGTGTGACACAATTTATGATCGTGCCTCCGGTTTCATAGTACAGATGCGCCATGAAGTGCCCTGTCGCGAGAAAAAAATCTGCTACCAGCATCGAGGGACGAGTTGGGCGAAATAGAATTTTCTCACGAATGTAACAATTTTTACTCGCACCGAGAAATTCTGTCGCTGCAGAATTGTGAAATACGATTAGTTGAGAGCATCGGGAGGATATCAGGAGGATTAAGCAGTTCAGGTTGCATGAGTTTTTCGAATTTCAATAAATTTGGAATATAATTGATGTAACGACATGCAAATGTAAAACAGAGGATAAATATTAAAATAAAGGAGATGAAAATTGAACGCGACTTGTTTGTAAAATAAAAAGAAAAATGAGCGGAAAGTTGGAGGGTGGAACAGGTTTTAAATTAAAAGCTCAGTCACCAACTCGTCTGCATATATTTCAACTTTTGCTATGAACTCTCTCGAACATGTAAGGATTAAAACATATAGTGATCTATGATTTTAATACATCGAGACGTATCAATTTTGAATTATGCTGTTATAATTCCACGTCGGAAAAAAAATGTAAAAAGGATCTTTGGAAGAATAAGTAATATATCATAGTAGTCTAAAGATTTCACAATATATTTCGCACGAGATATTCGTCTACAAAGAAGAGAGCGCTGTAATTGTGGAAAAACTGCTGCGGACAAATCAAGCGCGGCAGTGCCTTAATCCTTCCCGCAGGATCGCGAGGATCGTCAGTCTCGCCGTTGCATCACACATCGTCCGTAGATCGAACCGGCCGGCCGTCCATCCATCCCTACCAAGGCACCGCGGCACGTCTCCCCCCCGGAGTCCGCAAATGCACCCTTACACTCGCGACTTCTTTCCCGAACTGTGCGAGAGCCCACGCGGATGACGTCACCCGGCGCACGATTGGCCGAGCCGGTGTTCACGTGACCGCCCGCCTGGCCAGTGTCTGGAGGGTTGCTGAGGGACAGAAGGAGACGCGCGCGACAAGACGAGTAGGGAGAAGCAAGGGTGCGACAGAGAGCGAGAGAGCGGAGGTAGATAGAACGACTGAGTAAGAAGGGGGGAACGTGCGAGAAAGAGGGCGAGAGAGAAAGAGAGAGAAAAGGAGACAAAGAAATCTCAAGGGATGAAGAAGGAACGAAGGTGCATGACGCGAAGAATGAGATAGAGAGGAAAAACGCGATAGGGGAAAAAAGATGAGAAATTGATGCTAGTAGATTTACCGGAGGTGCAACAAGGACGCAAGAAAGAGGTTGCAGGGTATACACGCGGAGGGACAAGAGGGATGGCCAAGTGACGCGAGAGAGAGGGCGCTGGAGGGTGAAAGAGAGCCGGCTGAAAGGGTGGGGATCGCGGTGCACGCGGACGGAGAGGGGGTGAGCGCGAGTCTCGCCAGTCACACTGCGACGACCGCGACGCCCCAACGTCTCGGGGTGCCATTTGTCCGATCTCGTGACCTCGAAAAGCCTCATCGTAATAACCATTCCCGACACGGCCGACGTTTTTCGCGAACTCTCGGGTTCCGATAACTCGGCTTCCGACGAGATGAGTTAGAGCGGGAGCGCGACAGTAATCGAATTGCACGATTGGCTGAGACCGACCGAGTGTCATCCCTCGATGACGAAGAAGTAAATTTATATATCGGCGAGCGCGTTTTTTTTCTCTCACATCGCACATCGGTGTGTGATGCGCCGTTCGGGCTGAACTCGACGCTCCGCGTCGTCACGGAAATTTTCTCTCACTCTCCTTACCGCGCTCGTTCGCGAAAGAATGAGCTAATCACGCGCGCGCGCGGGGTGGCTCAGGTGCGAGGTCTCTTTCGCTTCCGGGCTTCGCGGCTGTAGAGGGACATAATCGGTACGCGCGCGCGGTGTGGGTGCCGTCGAGGACACTTTTTTATAGTTGTGTAGAACGCGGCCACGATGGTGCTCCACGGAGTGAATCGTAAGTTATGTGTCCCCCGTCGTCTCCTTCTCGAGCACGTTCCGCGACTTTATGAAGCGGCCGACACGTATTGAACCGGTGTTCATAACGTCCAATATACTCGATATCGCTGATTGATGATAATGCACTCGATCCTCGAGTGCATTCATCCGTCTGACTCGTGCAATTTTTCCTACAATAGCTACGATTGAAATTATCAACCGGTAAATGACGAAGCGCAATTGTCCTGATTAATATTTGGAATATATTTAAATATACCGTGCATCTTTGTATCGGCCATATAAGCGAAACGTGCTCCCGACCCTTCCTTCATTCTCCGATAGACGTTTAGATTAACCAGCAGACAGTAGTGACCCTCGTGCAATTAGTCTCCCCTACATTCGCATGTGTTCCTCATAATACGCAAATTGGGAAGTTGGTCGCCGACGAGTCTTCGAGGAGGAATACGCTCTTTATTCAGCGACGTCAAAACAGATGGCTGAACCATCGCTATAATGAAAATTGCTCTCATATATTTTTCTTCCTAATATGAAGCAGTCATGTTGCCACGCATTGCTACCTTTCGCAACACAAAAGATGTTGGTGTCAGTTCCACTCCTCGCACACATCACGATATAGCGCGTGCGTACTACAACGCACACGACGAAATCGCACGAAAAAGTTTGGTTGCGTGACCGCTGATAGTCGAAAACACGACTCATTGGGCGCGTTTGATCACGCGAAATTAGAGCGACGTGACGGAACAACAGATGGATCGGACAGATACGTCTGACGAATAGCGAGAAGAGTGCAATTGCACTTTGAGTTTTATTCCACATCATGACGTTCCGATTTGCGTCAAGACTTCACTACTTCACATTTCTATAAACGAAAAACAAAGGGCTGTATAAGTTAAGAAATTAAATTGTTTCAAAATCAGGCAGAATTCTATTATATATTGTTTGACGCGTGTCTTTTTCGCAATTAATCATTATTTCCTGTGATTTTGAGGACTTTAAGAAGATGAGAAGATTATAAGTGTGAGAGGGCTTATAATTATTAACGTCTTATCTCACATCGCATGAATAATCTTGATTCGATAATAACTAAGAACATGAGGAACTAATTACTTAGGCTAATTGGAATTTAAAGCTAACCGGAAGACAAGACATTACTGTCCGTCGAGAACTAGCTCGATATAGGGATAATAATACACCAGCGAGAACGTAAAATCGTGGGAAGGTTTTTTCGTAACCGATACGGGAAATTAACGTGCCGTGAACGGCAGGTCAAGTACGCCTCGTGAATAACAAGAAAGGTTGAAATCACGAGCTGCGCGTCGATCGCCAGCACGATCGAAGGTCCGTAAAAATTTACGATGACCGGACAAGAGCGAATGACGAAGCAGCACTCGTGTCTAATTTCGGAGTCAGATCGTTCATCATTTTGATAACAATAAGAATCGCTTGCCGTTCGATTCAAGGACGAGTCGTTTGTCAAAAAGCTTATCCTTCAAAATTGCAGTGAAACTTTTATTACACCGAAGCGAGCGAGAAGGAATTCTTCTTACAGTCAATACAATTTCTGGCTGTCTAAAAGATTGAGAGGTGGTCGAGATATATCTTGTACAGATGTCCGATCGTGTTTTTCGTTTTGATACCGACTCGATTATACGGAATCAATGCAACGTGACGGAATAGAAGGACGAGTATACCGTTCGAATAATAAAAAGGGCGAAATCGCAGGTCGGGGCTCGCAACGTGTGTCGCGCGTGCTTGATGTGCGCGATCCGGTCGAGAATCGATTAAACCTTTACGACCGACAATGTGGCCTCCATCGCACTGCGAACACGTACATTGGCGCGTAAACAAGCGTGTTCGCTTGCCTAGCTAATGATAATAAATATCGTCGCATTGCCGCGCGCGTCATTTTAAAGAGATCGGCTCGATGATTGAATGTATAATATAACGTTACCCGATGGTGCTTTAAATAATAATTCGCATGGGAATAAACAATCGCGTAATTATGTGTCGGGAATAACGATATGCGTATTAATTGCACAATTTCAGATTTCCTATAAATAATTTTGCGGTAAGCACGGCAACGTTCGTGCGCAGAATTTTAAAATATTATTTGTTATTCCTAATATCTTTAGTTAAATAACAATATTTTTTACGTAAGGTGATTGATAACTTTTGCAGTGATTTTTAAGAACTGAAAAAAAATGGATTATACAATTTTGTTAAAGTTGTATATGATATTAATACTGAAAAAAAGTTTTCAAGAGACCGCCCAAATAATTCCCGACCTCTCGCCATTAAATGCAACAATGCATCCCTTCCGCTGTAATCTTTGCGAGCGGTTCTACGTGCCGCGGTATAGTGGTAAGTCCATTAAAAAACGATAACCATTAAAAATCTGCGAGGAAACGTGGGGATTCACTCTCGTAACCGCTACTCCTTTCTTTCGCAATGTCGATCTTCCGTTGCGAATGGTCGATGAGAGGAAGAGAGAGAGAGAGAGGAAAAAAGATAGAGATGAATGGCAGAAAAAGAGAGCTGCGCTTCCAGCTCGATGTGGAAGAGACGAGGGTTGGCCATCGGCGTGGTGAATGTTGGATCGCACTTTATGGGATCCGCAATTATCGGCGGGGTTGGGCCGAGAATGTCTGGGAAAGCGAATTTTCTCGCGGCCGGAGAACTCGTAAAACTCGTATATATCGCCGCGATGCAGCAGCGGCGCGATTCTCGATGCATTAGCTAATTGTTGCATCGATATCGGTTGCCGATTTGTCCAATTTACTCGTCACTTCCGGCAGTGCGCCATTTAGCCTTGAATTAAACGCCTTCTCTCGTTCATCTGAAAAAGCCGTTTGTGTGCTGTGTAAAAAGTAAGTGAAATTGAATATCGAATGCGTCACACTTTCTAATGAATATTTAAAGAAAATAATTTGCTAAATCTATACAACGATTGAAATAATATGAGAATAATTGAACATAATACTTTTTAATTATCTATGCTATAGCTATTTTTTTAACGATACGCATATGCTCGCAATGTGTGCGAGAAAGGATGTTAATATCCGCAACAAATATTTTATGAGCAAAACTATTTGTAATTAATTAATTTAGCTTTTAGGTTTTTTAAATGCCTCCTGTTCCCAGCTTTTCTATTAGAGATACCGGCATTTGATTACTCTTTTAGCAGAATAATTTCATTAAAAGTAACAAGGTAAAAAGTAAATGGCATAAATACGCGCGTTACGTGGTCATTCGCAAATCTCGCGCACGTATAACAGTGTTCCTGCAGCAATTTCGTGCATTAGCTAATTGTCGCGTCGAAGCTGGACCGATTTATCCGATTTGCGCGTCACTTCCGACCCTCTGTCATCAACTTCCAACCCGCCGGCGAGCGCCCGATGATACCTCGATGCGAATTGCTCCGCGACCGGAAATCGATGCCGATGAATCCTCATCGGCATTGCTAGCCGTAGGCCGATTGACGTTATCTGCGAATTCGAATTACGCTCAAGCGGATCTCGCAATGTTGACGACGTCATCGCGAAAATGACACAATCGTGATCAGCCTGACAGTACCATCTTTTTTTTTTCCATTGTTGTTTATTTTTATCGTTTATTATTTTTGTATCAGCAATATCGATATTGGTGGTGTCGCGTGCACTGACAGTGTTATTTACGCAAGAAACGATTATCTCCAATCAATATCTCTTTCGAACGACACATCGTCATGGTAACAAGAACGAAAAAGAAAGATGTAATGCAATATGATATAACACAATGGGAGAAATATAGAGTAACGCAGACTTAACATCAAAATGATAACGTAACATAATCAGTCGGGTTCTCTTATGTTTATGCGAATATACATGTTACGCGATAATACACTGTACAGGATTAAATATGTCGTAACCAACGCTAACAAGCTTACGCTTGCTCGCGCATAAGAAAATCGAAGTACGCGTCTCAGCTGAATATACGTTTCTTCGTAATGCAGAAAAACACAAGGAGCATTTTAAATAATTGTTGCAACAAATTACAATTTAGGGATATTGCACTTTTGATATGATATTTGTAATATATATTTTATATTATAAAAAATATTATAATCTAACAACTTTATACGAACGCACCATTTCCTTCTTCACTTAGTTTTCGTATTAAAATTTAAACTATCTTGCAGCCTGAAGTAGCTGAACGTATGTCTGTGTTCGAAGATAAGTCTCGAGTGATAATTAAACGTGTCACTCTGTCAATCTGGTCACGTATTCGGTTGCGCTCTCGAAAAGCCGCTGCGAGCTCAAAAAGACGAAGCTCCTTATAAAACACAATTATGTACCTAAAGCAAGTTTCGACGCACTTAATTACTTGAAAGTTGGGAGGATCGTGCTGGTTGTTTCCCGACTCTGTTATAACATCGCCATTCCGACAACGACGAGGACGATGATAGGGGCTTTTCAGTTACAGCGCGCGCCATAATGTAATGAGCCTGATATGTGACTGACGCGTATTTCGCTTTCGTAAACTATACCTACGAACGCAGTCAAAATTTGATATACGATGTTACGTGTGCCCGCAGGTTAGAGCGGAAATGTATTCACAATATTTGCGAAACCTTCGGACGCGATCTCGCGCTGTGCCATTATTTTGATGGCGGTATTGCGTTTAGTGTGTCACTAATGTTGTTTGAGAACGCAACAATCTGAAGCTAATTGATTATTCGGGTCTGCAGCGCCCGAACGTTGTTTCGCGCCGTTCCGATATCTTGAAATATCGCGTTTAATTCGTTACAATAGCCAGCATATAATTGTTACAGCATACAATTGTAATCGCGTGAATTATACTGTCGAGTGAACGAAGTTGTACTTGATGTAATTGCAATTCCTGAAATCCGAATTGCGAAGAGCAACTTCTACCCATTCAAATTATTAAGAGCTCGAGATTACCTCGAAGTTTCTTAACAACGTTCTCGAGCGTGTCTTTTAGACGCTGTCATTTAATACA